AGCATTGAATTAATTTTTTAATTCTAATGCAAAGTATTAAAATTATTTTTTTAATTCTAATACAAAAGCATTAAATTAAGCATTATTTAATGCAATGCTAATGTTAAGCCGACACCCCTAGCTTGGGAAAAGAATGTGAAGCACATCAATTCTGAAAGATGTCACTAAATGACGAAGATTGCTTTTCTTTTCGAAGTTTTATTAAAGAATTTTTTTCCGAATTCAATAGACATAATTTTAATTAATGATCTAACTTTTCAACGTGGCGAACAATAATTAATAAAGAGAACTTAATAATAATTTTAATTCGTTCAAATATTTCTGTATTTCATGAGTCAATCAATATATACCAATGAAAGCCGATCTGTCATCATTCATCAACTCACTATCAAATTTGAATTAGAAAATTATCCTTTGCTTGTTTTTATTGATAATTCTGAATAAAAACAATGGAATGTCGTTTTGTTCAACGTGCCGATCATCATTATAAACATAAACGAAAACTAAATAATGTTAGTGTTAAAAAATCACGTGAAAAATCTCGTCGTGAACGTGAAGAAACTATTGAATCAATAAATCAATTACAAGAAGATAATGAAAAATTACTACAAAATTTACAAGCATTAAAACAAGAATATGAACAATTACGAAATTTATTTCAACAACATACTGGAATCGATATTAATCAAATGATTTCATCCGAATCAAAAACAACATCGGATTTATCAACATCATCAATTCCATCAAGAGAAGAATCCACAAAAAATGCATCAAAACCAGTATTAACAATAAATACAACTGAAGATCAATCGTCATCAAGTCATCAACTAGATGTAAATAATCTAGATGGATCTATTGTACTTATCAATGGAGTTCAATATAAAATTATGAGCATTGATAAAAATTAAGATTTTGTTCACATTTCTTTGAGTTTTTTAACGTAAGAAATAATATTTTATTTTATTTTTATTTTTTCTGTTAATTATTAATTAAGAATTGTCAACATTTGACAATATAAAAATAAAGTTTTTATTATTTGTATAAATAATATCGAATTAACTAAACATTTTCATACTGTCCTTACCAGCATTCTCGATTTGAGGAGATCCAAAGCTCCGATTTTCTGCCTATTTAATGCATCGTAGTAAATTTAGATTAAAACGAAATTTTGACATATCATTTGCCCTTCTAGGGCAGAAAGTGAAACACAAGTAAGAAGACAATGTCACTTCGAGATGAGTAGGATAGGAAAAGAATGGCTACGAGAAGTTTCAGCTGTTTTCATCCCTAAAAAATGCCCATAGCCTTGATCCGTACAGGAG